GAAGCATTCGCATCCTAAACATGGGCTTTGAGAAAAGGTTTTTTAAAAAAAATAAAAAGTCCACATATGAGATCACGGAGCAGGCTGCTAGCCATCGCAATCTGTCATCACCGCTGTCACTGGGAGTTCAAATTGTCTTTTCTTTATGTTGGTATCAGAGATCCTTCTACCACAAATCATCCAAACTCCTTAGGTGTTTGATTGTGCTGCAGGACCCCTGGGTGCTGAGCATGACCCTGATATCAGGTTCAGTGCTGATGGGAAACGATGACAGTGTTTGAGCTACTAATAGTATTTTGAATGCAGAAGACTTGGCCCCTGTTTACACTCGGGTTTAAAACGCGTCTTCAGCGATCGGCTCGCAAGTCGACAGCCGGGACACTGGGCCGTTTACACCTCCAAGATCTCCAACTGACCACCTGTGATCAGATTTCATTACCGCCTACGTCACTTCTGCAAGGAGGTCAAATGGCCCCTCGCACAGTTATCATGACATCCTTGTTGGAGACGCATGAGGATGCAGCAATAACACAAGAAGACAACAACTGCATCCCAGACCACCTACGCTAGTGGTTTGAGTGATCAGATCACGGTGTGCCTTGGTGGTCGCGTACACTTGTGTTTAGCACTGATCAAAGGTAGTCAGCTGACCATCTTGGAGACATAGGATAGACAAAGGCGTAAACGGCGCTCAAGACACATTTTAAGACTAAGTGTGAACTGGGGTTTAGACGGACCATTCTTTAGAAGACAATGTTTTAGAAAAGTAAATATTGCAAATGGAGCCTCTCTCTCTCTCTCGGCCCAAGTCCACTTGGGAAAACTGTCAGAAACATATTAACCATCCAATATGTTGACAATGACCTGCTCTTTCTCCCCCTCCTGAGGACATCAGCTGCAAAGGACGCATTCTTCAGACATGACATGAAAGACATTATGGGGTCACAAAATTAAGTACAATTAAACCTCGACGAGACAGGGGTTATAATTACAGGTGCTGAAGGTCTGGGTGAAGAGGGAAGAAACCAGCGAATCTTCAGTATGGCATCTTGGGGCTCCTTGTGATCCAAATTTCCCTTTCACACTAAATGCAAAGAAAGATTTTAAAGAAAGATTGCAGAGTTTTTGGTCATTGGTAAATGCATAATTTCTAATGAGCACAGGCTTCAGTGCCAATCCAAATGTATATTATTTCCTTTTCTGAAAGATCCTGATCGCATGCAGTTCGTTATTTATTCATCAGTAGCTGAGCACAATAATAATAAGACACCTTTTGCCTGAACTGGATTCCGGCAACTATTGCCTGTATGTTTAGAATGAATTTAAAGATTCATTCACTGGATTTTAAAGTATTAAACAGCACAGTATCAAAATTTCCTCAGATCTGCAAATGCTGCTCTGCTTGGAGAAGCAAAAGAACAATGCATGTTTATTTATGATTTCCATTATTCTGCTTGTGCATTTTAACTTTTTTCATAATCAGTGTTTTTTTTTTGCTTTTTCTCCATCGTTGCATGCACTCTGGGCTGTCAGGCAGTGTATGAAAATCGCACAATAAATATAATTTATTATTTATTAATCATCTTTCAAAGCTTTGTTAGCGACTCAGATGACAAAAATAGACGTATTTGAATATCTAAAAATAGATAACGCATTAATAACCATTTGCTAAATACTTAACATGAATTTCATTCCAAGCCAATAAAAAACATCTACCTAAAGTATTTTTAAAGTTACCACAGTGAGTCTTTCATTAACTGCCTGATTGAGTTGAAGCCGGCACGTATCAGACATTACGTCAGGGCTAGTTTAAGAACGGAGCGACCAGACTGATTTGCAAATAAAATCGAATTAAATGTGGAACATTTTGTCACAAGCTCCTTATTTCAGTTTATCACTTGGCTTTGGTGGCTTAACTGGCTAAACACTAAGACCGCCTGCAAAACACAAAGACACTGACTAAACACAACTATGCTAAGCACTCAGGCAGCTTCCTAAACCCCTGATTCACTGGGTAAAACACTGAGGCTGCCTCTTAAACCCCGATTCACTGGCTCAACACTGAGGCTGCCTCTTAAACCCTGATTCACTGGCTAAACACTGAGGCTGCCTCTTAAACCGCTATTTACTGGCTAAACATTGAGACTGCCTCTTAAACCGCTATTCACTGGCTAAACACTGAGGCTGCCTCTTAAACCGCTATTTACTGGCTAAACATTGAGACTGCCTCTTAAACCGCTATTCACTGGCTAAACACTGAGGCTGCCTCTTAAAGACATTGGCTAAACATTGTCTGCTCAATGCCAAGAGTGTCTGCTGAACACCAACACTGCCTGCTGAACACTAATACAGTCTGCTACACACTAGGACTATCTGTTAAACACCAAGACTGTCTGCTAAACACTAAGACTGCCTGTTGAACATTAAGGCTACTTGGTGAACACCAAGACTGTCTGCTGAACACTAATACTGTCTGCTGAAGACTTAAGACTGCTTGCCGCCACTCGTTTTGGCCGTCCCCCCTGAGGGGGCAGGTGCTGGTGTTTTTTTTCGTCTGTTCAAATTTCATCTATAGCAAAGCAAACAATTTGCAAACCAGGTAGCGTGCTTGCTAAGGAATTAGATTTATGGTCTAAGGTTTGTAAGTACAAATTCCATAAGGAAGAGCGCCTGAACACCACTTAGCCAAATTGCCTCAGAAAATATCCAGCTGTATAAATAGGAAAACCTGTGAATTCTCCTCTGGGTAAGTCTCTGCTAGGCAAAAATAATAAGCTATGAACATGATTTATGTTCCACTGGCGATAATCCTATATAAATGGACATCTGACAGACATATGGAGAGATAGAGATAAGTTCACTACAAATGAATCGACAAACAAACAAGCAACTAAACAACAATCAATACTATAGTATTTAGTAGAGTTAGTAAAGTAAGACGTTAAACAGGCTATGAAAAATATAATAAAATAAATTTTAATTCAACGCAGCATTGCTGTTGTTTCTGGCAAACAAAAAAGAAACAATTTAGGAGAAAATTAAGGAAAAGGCCAAAAATGTAATTGGGTACAATGGGTAAAAAGTTTTTTTGTATTACAAGGTATGAAATGTAAAGGTTACTGCACTCCAGGACAAAGTGGGGGGACGATAGTATATTAAATGGATTAATTTAATGCATGTTTTTGTTGAAAAGAACACAGGTATCAATTTTTACAGGTTCCTCTTCTATCTGTATATATGAATATAATAAATGTAATGGATACAAGTCCTACTCGTTAGTATGTCATGTTACCTTTATTCTCTCCAACAAAGGACCATTCTTGTTTATTAGTAACATTTTGATGAATCGCCAACAAGGAAAGGCAGACCTTGCCTAATACAGTAGATATATCCAATATGGCTGATCTGCTAAAAGTGTCTACGATTTGTACACAAACACTGACACTATAAAGACAATGAGCTACAGATGAAGGAAGTATGTTTGTCTGGATGTTGAACAGGGCACAGGAAAGAGTGATGGAAGGAGTTACATATTCAGAGGGATAGACTCCAACTGGGCCAGAGCAACCAGTAGAATGCCACTGTGCTTTTATTGGGACTATTAATCTTCCTAATCTACAGAAAAATGGCAGAGATTCTGACATGGATCACAGAGATTTAACAAACTGGCAGCATCTGAACATGACATAAAAATTAGCTTGTGTAACAGACAGCGAACTTGCAGCCAAAGAATTATAAAAAAGACCTGGAGGAAATGGAAGCCCTGGGAGACACCTGGCAGATGAAATCCAGTAAAGGATAAATGCAGAATTCATCTGAGGAGCAGGAACGCGCACAGCAGCTCCTGTGCATGTGGGACACGGCGATAATAGCCGCCCCCTTTTGAGAAATATTTTGGCATTTACATAAACTTGTCCGTGTCTGATGCTATCGTGCCGCTGAGATAAGGAGTCAGAACGTAAACAAGATAGCTGGACGTATCTGTAAGCGGATGCAATTTGAATCCCAAGCAGCACCGCTGAGCCGCTACGATGCTTTGCCAAGATGTCACCTAAAGCCCAGCATAGAACTTTTGTCGCGGCACTTCAGAAAGGATGTTTCCGCCCTGTGCCAGGTCAGCGAAGCAAGCGAGAACGGTCAGCGCCAGTTCACACTTAACAGCTAGAAGAATAGAATGTCCTGATTTTACATGGAGTATTTCTTGGTCTTATTTTTGCAAATGTCATACCACCCTCTGAACAGAGTGCATATATTTTGAAGTTTTGTCTCCTCACATCAGCATGCTTGTTTTGAATGTCTACATTCAGGGTTCAGGATTCTGTCAGTCTTGCTTGCCATACACCATTTTCAGTTTGAACGTCCCAGAAATCCATTGGAGAATCATCTGTATTATCTTCCCAGGCGCAGTCTGGGATCCGGTTTGATCTCGGCTGTTTGCCGCTCCTTTCTAAGGTGCGGTTTTGCATATAGTCACTTCATTGGCTGCCTGGATATTGAGCAAGGAGTTCAAAGGCAGGAATGTTGGAGGACGTGCCTTGTCTTCAAACTGAACACATTTCTGTTCATTTCAACATGATGTTCGATTATAAGATGTTTGGCTCAACGAGCTCTACTGACCTGCAGGCCCCTTGTGAAATGATGTTGGGTCCTTGTAAAAAAAGATGCTAAAGTCGGATATCATGTAACCAGTGATGGCTCAAATCCGTCATTAGACCAGACGTGTGGAGGTACGTGAGAGGCAAGCTAAAGAAAAACCTCACCGAAATTGCGGAATGTAGCTAATTAAAGTCGAATCCATGATGGCATCAATCCTACTGCAGCACCATGTGATCTCAATTAAGAGCTTTGCCCTGGGCGATGACGTAGGCAGTGCCGGTTCTGTCACAATGACTTGCCGTTCATGCATCGTAGGAGGAGGTCTGTGGGTTGTCTGTTTAGATTTGGGAGGTCCCGCATCTCATTCATTCACGTTGCAGAGGCTGAATGGGCACACGGGATAGCTCCGTCCCAGGCAGGCTGAACTCCAAGGAATTTTCTCCCACTTCAAGACGTCTCACCATTGATCTCTCAATAACTGCTCATCTTCTTCTGGCACACAAATGTCACGTGTGTCGTCCTCAACCCCAGTGGCAGATAATTCGTGAGCTGCTTAAGTGCGCTATTTCTTTCCCTTTCCTTAATGAAACCCTACGCAATGCCAGCATCCATCCTGACCACCTCTTTGATACGCATTGACAGACGGAGCAGATGAGTTTCACGTGTCGACGAGTCTCCTCCGTTTATACAAACTGGCGCAAAGGCAATATGTATGTGATTAATGAAAACTTTTAAAGGAAATACTTTCGATCGTGTCCATATTACGCTTTTTCCTGCCTTAGAAATAACCTTTACAAACTGTCATTTCTACTTGTAGCAGATGCCCGTATACAGCAATTAATTAAAATAAATACAAAGCAGTTTTGCAAAATAGCGCTAAAGTGGCGACTGATTCGCATCCAGTATTATTTGGGGGGGGGGAAAGAAGACTGTATATTATTTTAAATTGTGGATGCGAGATGCGCAAATTGATTGCAAGCCGGATGTTATACCCCGCCGACACCGCGGCGATCGGGAGAATATTAACGCGCGTTCAGACGTGCGGCGCGGCGCCTCTCCCTCGCTGCGAATGGTAGCTTCCAACCCGCCTCACATTTCACAAACAGCAGCTTCGCCCCGGATCGTACGCTGCTCCCATGCAGAGTGGTCCCTGTTAAATTTTTAAGAGTGAGCCGACTATTAGCTGTGCACATGATGTCCCTGTACGCGATAAACAGCAATACCCTATCAACTGCGCTATCTTGCGTTATTCACATTTAACTGTTTTAAACCCGCGTTTGTTGTTCAGTTCTTCCAGTCGTTATCTATCTTTTTATTTTCCAAAGACGATAGCTTAAAAAGTCGCGGAGTTATTCCGACCACTAAAAATAGGCATTTAAACGAGAGAAAACAAAAGAAGTCAAGATCGGGTCTGGCGTTCAACGTAAGGAAAGTTTCCGATTGAAAAAGGATAATCCTGTAAGGAAAAGGGGGAAAAACATCGGAGCAGGTAAGAACATGTTTTCATTCATACGGGTGATGTTTAAATACATTGCAGGAGGAACAATGCAAAAAAATATATCCCACTTGACTAAATGAGGTGACCGGCAGCGTAACTGTGTCGTTACTGTATCAAATGCTCTGTCCTTTCATAATACGATATAGGAGATCATAGCGCGTCTGCATCTTTTGTTATGAATTAATATTAGAAGACATGTCTAATGTGCCCGGGATGTCCGCAGCATTTATTAAGGAGTAAGTGGACGACGCTGAATGATTTTTTCTTGCTTTAGTGTGTTTATTAGTCGATCCAGACTGATGTTTTGTACCTAAAACATTAATGACCTCTGTAAAAGCGCAAACGGGTCTCGCATACCAGCACACTGGCGTGTTTTTTTTTCTGCCCAGATGGCAGTGCAAAGCTTCGCCCTCAGTACTTACAGGGTGTTCGCGTTAATTAAGGTGGGTACAGCATCTTGTAAAAGTATCGAGGACCTCTTTGCGATGTCACATTTTGCGTAATTACACAGTGTACGCGCTCCCGTTCTTAACTCCCGTACTTGCACTTCTGAGGGTGAAATATGCTGGTTGCAAAAGTATAATAACAGCCGTGAACTTTGCAGGCAAACTAGGACCATTTATTCATTCCCTGAAAGATTTCTTGCTTTAAGGGTTGACGATTGTCTTGGGTGACGATTATAGGTACAATATTCTCAATAATAAGTGAAGGAGTTTCCTAATCTACCCCTCTGTACCTCTTTGCCTTTTCTTATGCATCATTATTCTGCTGAAAATGAATTTTAGCCCAGTTAGGTTTCCAAGAGACTGAATCTCTTCTACTGTTTGCATACACTTTGTTCTGTCCATCTTTTCCTCAGTCCTAACAAGCTTCCCAGTTCCTGCTGAGCAGAATTATGCCCCAAATCCTCCATGGTTGACAGTATGGATGGTGACGACTTGGTGATACACAGTGCTGGGTTTGTGCCAAGCGTAACAGTTGCTGTTTAGCCTAGAGACTCCCTGTTTAGCGTCAACTGACCCTAACTTTTAAAATATATTAATGGCTTCTGTCTTGCCACTTTGTCTAACATATTTGTTTTTGTGTTGATCGACCTCATGTTTTCGTCCGTCTCCGCTGAAGGGTTGCCGTCATGCTGGCCTTCACCTAAGATTCCTAACTGAAGGCATTGTCTAGGTGATGGGCATCTTCCATGGAGTCAGGATTCGCAGGGCTGTTCAAACTCATCTGACGACTCTGACCTATGATTTAAAATGGTGTTTCATCTCTGTTGCAGTGTAGACTGTTTGGTGTTCATGCTAGAGGCTCTGATTTGAATTCATTACCTACCCCAGTAACCTCACCAAATGGGTGTTAATTTTTTCATTTCATGTTGCAAGGAAGACAATTATTGCCCAACTACACACGGGGCTGAGAATGTTACTTGTTGAAGGTAATTTTGTGCACAGTAATTGTGTAGGTTGCTCATAGTCTCTGCTATAAATTGCTGTTTAGGAGTGTCGTGACAAGCAATAAAACGTGAAAACAGCAATGCTCTGAGTGTGTTTTGTAAGCTATTTTATTTATTTTGATTATTATGTTTTTTGTTTATGTTTTGTTTATATATATATATATATATATATATATAGTGTGTGTGTGTGTGTGTATGTATGTATGTATGTATATATATATATATATATATATATATATATATATATATATATATTCTCAATTATCAGGTTGTGTATGTTCGCCATGTAAGTTCTGAAAAAGTGGAATTAATTGCAGGAATCCTTAGCATGTTAATCATGTTGTACTTAGTACTCTTAAGAGGTCATTAAAACTTAGTCTGTGTGTACGCGCTTAAGACGTGTTTGTAGGCGTATCTTATATAAGAACATTTTGAGCTTTAGACAAACCTAAGAGGGCAGGCCAAACGTGTTTGGATTCACTGCTAACCAAAACGCTGACTGGACTATGGATTTCGGTAGCTGTTGAATAACAAATCCTGTCGGCCATGTTCTTTTGAGATTCCCCTTATGTTCCGAAGTAGCCGGTCCTGCTATTGGCCTCTTGATTCTGTTGTTCATTATCGCTGCATTACAACAGTAAGATTCAACAAATAAAGCAGGCGCCAAGCAGTACAGGGTCACCCTTTATGTAACAGTAATGTTTCATCCTCAGAACAAAAAAAAAACAACTTAGGATGAAATACAAATGTGATTCCAACTGTAAAACACGGACCGTGCAATTTGTAAACCTTACTATACTAACTGCTTAACAGAATATCACACTCATAATTTAAACAGCTGTCAGGGGAAAGGAGTCATCTTTCTTCTTCTTAAATAGGAAATTAAGTAGCACTGAATAAACAATCAATGGGATTGTGAGAAGTGTAATTTAAAAAATGAACTGTAACTTTTATTTACAGTAGATGCCGGCTGTAGTTGCGTCTCCCCCTGCCTGTGTGTCTGTGTGTATGCAGTCTGCCAGCTCGTTCCATAAGGCTGTAGGGCCAATGGCAGCCTGCCTATGCAAATTTCTGCCCACAATTATTATGGGAGCCATGTAGGTTCAGTCCCCCACCGTGCCTGTTTTGCAGTGTAAATGCCTTTCCTGGGCTTTTGGATATTAAAGTTAATTGCTAAATGTTCCGGGGGAAACAAAGTAATTTGTCTTTTAAGAAAAAAGAATTGAGTGATAATTAATCCCTCCACTTCTGTAACTTCTGACTTTTTTTTTGAATGTAGAATATTTGTTTTGGGTGAACCTCGTCAAATACTGTAATTTTTTGGAGTTTAAAGGAAACAAAACAGATTTTTAGCACAAGTTTTTTTTTGTTTTTTTAAATTATTAAATTAAGTCGCATTTTTTTACTTGAACATTTAACGCTAAAGTTGTAATACTGTTGTCCTGGTGGTCATTTTGTGGCCCAGATGCACGTTATATTGTAAATTCTGAGCATGATTCAAAACTAAGGAATCTCTCCGTTATGATACTTAAGATTGATGGTAGGCGTCTTGTAAACCTTATAAAATTTTCCATGAGGCTACAGATTTCGTGAAAGGGGGGAGGATTTTCCTAGAAAATATCTTGATGGTGTTGAGATATCAGCATTTTCCAGGAGTGATGGCCCTCTGCATGGCAACACCCGAGATTACAGTGGTGTTTTTCTTGGGGGGAAGTGGTTTAATGCAAAGTACACGTGTGTGACTGCGGGCTGATATGGGGGGGGGTGGGGGTGGTAATACTCCTTAAGCCGGCCAGATGCACGAGGGAACGTCCAGGTCCGACAGATTAAGGGATTAAAGGATATATGGTTTGTGCAATATCATTAATGCACCAACAGGCCACCCAGCGAAGGTAGGAGTTCATAACGTATTTCTCAATGTTTTTTTAACAGCATAAAGATTATGTATATTTTACCTTTTCTCCAAGCCGGCTGTAGTTAGGTCTATATATTTAAACCCTTTTTAAAATATACATGCTTATACAGAATGTGCAGGTTGCGCAGTTCACAGTTGTCAAAATGTTGCGTTACTCTCTGGTATCTAGGTCAAATCTAAGTAAATCGGCAGCCCAAACGGATTGACGGTAGCCCTGCCAATGCCGGCTTTCCTCCTCCGTGCCAAATGAGCTCTGAAGCCGGTACCGCTGCTCCAGTCGCGGTTATATCGTTAGCCGGCTCTGCCTGCGAGTTTGTTGTGGCAGAAAGTAATAGATACTGTTCTGCCGCGGGGCGCGTTTCTGTCATCCAGGTTTTTTTTCTTTTATTTTTCTTTTCTGGGCACAAAATCAGCACCTTCCAGTACAGCTGCAGTTTACTGAACGTGTGTGGTGGGGGGGGGGCCGTATCGTGTTTACATCTCGCCATTATATTTTCGTCCTTGTTTTCTTCAATCCGCTTTTTCATGGGAATGAGATATGGCGGCGCAGACACCCCAGTTAGCGAAATTGATCGATTTAGTTACCTCATTCTGGGATTTCCCCACCCAGGTAGACACAGGGACCTGTGCGTACTTGTTTCCCGTCCAGCTGAGCTCTTAGGTAATTAGGCTTGATTGAGCTGTTGATTGAATGAATCTTTTAAATTTAAAAATGTAAATATTTTCATTAAAATCACATTAAACTAATGCGCTAACCCCAAGACTTTCATTGGCCTGATTTCCCAATTATGCTTAAGCAAAGGAATAATTGCTATAGTGAAAAAATGTCTAGATTTTTTAAAATATCCCTGGCTTTGCCCTTCCTGAGTGTTTTCAACTTTTTTTAACTTAATTATAGTAGCCAAGGAACAATTCACTAAATGACTCGTATAATTTAGCCAAATTTAGCCCATTTATTAATGACCAAATGGGGGATGTATTTTATAGGCAGTAATGCATAAAACAATATTAAACACTTGGGTCCTGGCTTTTACACTGGCAATGAGTTATACTTACTAATAACTTCGTTTGTTTAATATACTCTTAAGATTTCCTTGCGTCCTGCTTCCCCTGAACGTTTCAATATAATTGGCAGTACTAGTAGAGCTTATTAGATTACTATTAGATTGCAATAGCAAGTTAGCCTATTAGATTTCTATATGATATTACTTCAAAGACACAAGGTGCTTGTCCAAGCTTATGTCAGGGAGTGTATCTCATCAAACCAAATCTCTGATCGAGCAAAGCAAACTGAAGTGCGGAAACAGATCGAGGGCTGTAGCTGTTTGCAGTTACTGTGAAAAATTCCGAGTCTGATCCTTGTGCTGAATAGCAGAAGGTTTCCTTATGGTCCGGTCAGATAGCCCCCAGTGTATGAATCCGAATGGGGCCCGGAACTATTCAAGAGGATTTGAGGTTGCTTTTGGATAAGCCCTGGTCCGTGGTTTGCAGATAGGGCAAAGTCAACATTTGCTTGATCTGCTGGGAATGGATCGCGAATGGGTTTCTACATCGTATGGCTTCTGACAAACAATCATAAACTGTCTCAACTTAATCAGACCCTGGGCTGCCACATGTTGTGTGTGT